GCTTCGCGCTGTCCGTGCCGCACGCGGTGGCGGCGCTGCGGCTGCCCTTCTGCGCCGCGAGGCCGGTCGTGGACCACTTCTTCTGCGAGCTGCCCGCCGTGCTGAACGCCGCCTGCGCCGACACGGCCGCCAACCACCGGCTGGTGTACGTGCTGGGCGTGCCCATCCTGCTGCTGCCCCTGGCCTTCATCCTCGCCTCCTACGCGCTGATCCTGGCGGCCGTGCGCAAGCTGCGCTCCACGCGGAGCCGCCGCAAGGCGCTGTCCACCTGCGGCTCGCACCTGGCCGTGGTGGGGCTCTTCTACGGCACGGTGAGCGCCGTGTACCTGCGCCCGCGCGCCTCGCGAGCCCTCCCCGCCGGGCAGCACAAGCTGGTGGCCGTGTTCTACCTCGTGGTCACGCCCGTCCTGAACCCGCTCATCTACAGCCTGCGAAACCGCGAGGTCCACGCTGCGGCCCGGTTGGCGCTGGCCCGAGTGCAGGGCAAGCGCACCACGCTGGACTGACCCTCACGGGACCCCAGCACAAACCGAAGGCCAGCCCCGCGCGCAGCCCTGCCAGCCCCCACCTTAACCCCAAGCCCCGCGCCCTCCTCCTGGGACCCCGAGGCTCCCCGGGATCCCCTGCTTTCCCCCGGGCCAGGCTCAGCCCGCGCTTCTGGGAAGGGCTGGATCCCAGCCCTAAACTGACCGGGCCCGCCGCCAGCGAAGGGCGGCCGAAGAGGCAGAAGGCAGCGCGGCTGGGTCCCAGAAAATGGTGGACCCTGGAATCGGAGCTTCGTGTGATGGTCACGTGTCACCAAAATTCATTCTGCTTGTAGTTTTCCCGGCCATTTGAGACTGTAGAAGTCATTTCGAGGTAGCAGACTCTGGTTTGCCAGCCCCTCACCTCGGGGAAAAGCTGACCCAAGCAGACCGTTGCTAGGATGAAATGAACAGGCGCGTCTGCCGGGGCCAGGCGTGGTTCTCAGACCCCTTGGACGTCGTCGGTGCTGCTCGCGCGGTTTGCTGGGCCACGCATGTTGATGAGGGCTTTATGCGCTGCGGGTCAACTGCGGAACACCTTCAGAGGTGGATACGGCGGCAACGGGTGTTTTACCCACGACTCAACTAAGCAGCAGGAACGGTTACTAAGATGAGTGATACCGCAGTCCGGCAGCTGCCGTCTAGGGTTGTGTTCACTCTTAGAAGCCGTGCTATCTCCTCTCCTGTAATTTAGTCTCTTCCCGTTCTTGTCTCGGCTCTCGCCCTCCGCCTTCCTCCCATACCTCCATCCCCACGCTCCTCTCTCCTTCTCTCTCTGTCCCCTTTCTGTACACCCCTGAAGGTACAGACAGTGATGTTAACAGGGACATGGACATTGACTGCAGCGTGGCCGTGGATGCCATCCCACGCGAAGGGGTCACACACGTGCACACGCCTGAAATGTGGCTTATCCTTGTACCCAGGCAGCGGGTATTCTCTGCTCTGTTCCATTTCGGTGTTGACCGTGACTCACTAAACTGACTCACAGTTGGCAAAACTCTGAACAGATTTTGGCGTAGAGCAGGCTCTCAGAAAACGGCAAGGGACGTTCCCTCCCTCATCTTGTCGTTCTGCGGAGGCTCACTGGTGGCTCCGGGGTGCGTGGGGCTGCAGGCTCCGTGAGGGGCAGGCGGTGAGAGGGAGGCTTGGACACAGCACTGACGGGCGGAGGGACGCAGGCCTCCGCTCACCGCTGGTCAGCAAGATCGACTTTGATCATCACACACACAAGACTCAGGTAGGGAATGTTCTTATGCTCAGTTTACAGGGGATGAAACTGTGGCAGGCAGTGGGAAACCCTGCTGCAGAATCCGCTTGCCTTCCTGCTGCGGCCCTGGCCAGTGTTTCTGTATCTACCATGAGGCCCTTTAAGTGGTTTTCTTCACCAACAGAAACACAGTCCTGGGAGGATTCAGGTGGTGGGATAAAGGACTCAAGACTGGAGTTTCTCGGAGGATAAAGTAAAACGGAAGTAAAAAAGTGGAAGAAAGGGAAGGACATACATCCTGACGCCAAAACTAATCTGAAAGAAGAGACTTGTAGATCAAGCAAAACACAGGCATAGGACTTTATGAAATGATAAAGCAGCCCACAGGCTGCCTGTGGATTTCTCACCAGTGGGATCGGAGCAGGAACTACCCAGGAAGCCCTGTCCTCCAAAACAGAGAGACTGCAAAGGTGTGGCAAACTCCATCCACACAGACCTAGAATATGAGGCCTCTCTCCTCTTTTGATTTCCTGCAAACAGAGGACACTGCAGCCTGGCAGCAAATTTTGCTGGCACAAACGCGAGTGACTGCTCCCTCCGCTCCTCTTCTACCTCCTCCTCTTCCTCTTCCTCCTCTTCTTCCTCCTCTTTTTTGTCTTCTTCTTCCTCCTCCTTCTTCTCCTTCTCCTTCTTTTTCTCTTTTCTTTCTCAGTCAAGCACCATAACTGCTAACTGGAACCTTTAGCTACAAGAGGGTTAGGGACCAGCCACAGCATTGAGGATTGCTACTGAAACAATACAACTCTTCCTACCCTACCACTGGCACAAGAGAGGGACTTGGGCCATCCCATGACTCCTGAGACAAGCATTTCCCTGCCCTGTGGCCAGCAACCAACAACACAAACATCTTTGGGCCAGGAAATCAGCAACTTCCTCTGACCTGTGCAGGGGACAAGGAGTGGGAAACAAGCACCCCCTCCCCTGTGACAGAGACACAAGCAGGCTTGGGCCAGGAAGCCAGTACTCCCTCTTTGGGACAACCAGCGCAGGACAGAGAGGGCAGAGAGGGAGAGAAGCTGGTGGTGTGGATGGAGCAGGCTGTACAAGGTCCTGAAGAAAACAACGGTACACGGGGCTGGGAGCTGCCACGGCACCCACGAGAGCAGCACAGGGACAAACAGGTGAAGAGACATGGGTGGGCCATCCACACAGCTGCTGGGTAAGGATGGGCCGCAGCTCCCACATCCAGAGGCCAAGATCAGCCTCACATCCAATCTAGCGCTAATCCTACTGCAGAATTGGTGGGATGCTGACTTGGGCACTACCACAGAACAGTGAACACCAGAGGGATTTATTTTTTCTTCTTTCATTGTCTGATGGGGCTTTTTTGTTTTTCTTTTTTCTTTTAGGTTTATACATATATTTTTGTTTTATTCTATTCATCTTCTTTCTCTCTCCCCTCAGCTGTCTCTCTTGATCTTAGCACATCTTCGTGTGAGTCAGTGCTGTCCCTAACCTTCTGATTCACTTCAGTAATCTTTTGCTTTCTCCTTCATTCTTTCTCTCCTGCCCTCTTCTCCAGCTTCCCAAAGCTCCCATGATCACTGTTGTCCTGCAGTCTTATGTTGACTGCATTTCTCTTCATCGCTTTCTCTATTTTGTCCCCTGTACCTCTTAAATTTCCCCACTACAGAGTAAAAATCACTCTGCTGGGGGAAACGCATTGCATTAATGTTCCTGATTTATGCTGAGTTTTGTTACATAACTGTAGATCAAGCACTACAGCAGTTTGTCAGTCTCTAGGCTATGCACAATGCTATTTTTTTTTTGTGTGTGTGTAACGAGATCTTTATTATGACTTTATTTATAAAAGATGGTAAAAACAAATGAAAATTTTTTTATTTTAAAGGATGCTATTGTTACTGCTAATTGTAATATTTTATGCAGCATGTCATACTTATTGTAATCAGTTGCTATCAGTTCTGTAACAATAACGTGACAACTGTCACCATAGTCCAGTACCAAAGGACTGGGGGTTGAGTCAAAGAGATGGCAACATCTCACCCTTAATAATTTGGGAAGGTAGGATCTTGGGACAGACAAAAAAGCCAAGAACCTCCTACACATAGGAGACACCTCTGAAGAACAGATATTTCCTAGGGAGGTTTCAATATTACTGATAAATTTATCTACTATAAGAAATGTACAGGCATCAACACAGAAAAGATAAAATAAAATAACAGTAAATGACAAGACAGAAGCAAAACCCAATCCCAGACCTCCAGCCCACCCAGGACAAGTCCAAGGGACAGCAAAGTAGAAGAAAATGGAGGCTATCCAGATGAAATTTCTGAAATGATAGCAGCAGAATTTGAAAAACAGGTGCATGAATATCAGATCAGAAATAATCTCTTAGGTAAAAAAAGAGATGATGACCATAATGAAAGACTCAGCAAGTCCAGAGTAGACATAGGTAAAAAATAGAGAAGCATAGGATAATGATGGAAACCATGAATGTCTAACATAGAAAAGAAATGGAATCCATGCAACAGACTCTAACAGATATCCAGGAAATTAAAAATTCCAATCAAAATTTGCAAAATTTCATGAATGAAAGTGAAGACAGAATTTTAGACACAGAAGACAGGATTGTGGCTAGTGATCACAAAAAGAAAGATCTCTTAAAAATAACAAGGGACTAAGAAAAAACAAT